GCACGCCTTGGTTCCATGCCACACGTGCCGGAGCCATGAGGGTGGAGAGTTTGCTCGTGACAGCAGTGCAGACTAACATGTGTATTAGTATGTCTATGGCATCTTTGAAAGAAACAGAATAAGGTGCAAGAAAGACAAGATACGACGACTTACCCAAGCCTGGAATAAGGAGGAGAAAACAAGGAGGGCCGACCTGTCGGTAAAGCAGATACACCCCGACCGGGAGTTCAATGGCCGCCGCCCAGACGTCGTGAATAAAGGTCATGGACGCAGCAATAGCCTCAATGTCAACGCTCATGAGCGTCACGGGCGCCAAGTCATTGATCATGGAAGCATCGAGGCTGAGCGTCTTCTTGAAGATGAGGGAGACGAGACCGCCGCGGAAGAGCGTCACAAGCTGGAAGGTCATATGCTGGTACCAGCATCTTGAGACCTGGTAAAGCGTCTTATTAGCTGGGTGCCGAGATGGCAGTATCTTACGGGCGCGGGGAGAACTTACAGCAATTCCACAGTATATCAACGCCGTTGCGCCGACGAGACCCCCGGCAACGTTCCGTGAGTCTTCCGTCCGAGGGCTCCCGACAAAGTTTACAATCTGGTTGACGAGGAAGGGCTGAGAGAAGATGAAGCCCGCAAAGAGTAATCGGGGAAGGACCGCTGCGAGAAAGGTGGTTCTGTATGCCCAAAACACGCTTCTGATGAGGCTCCATTTGCTATTTTTCGCCGCTAGGTGCTCTGTGATCAGCTTGAGTTTCTTCCCTTTCCCCCTTCCTTGGACTGCAGAGAGACAGGTGTCAGACTTACCCCTGGACCACACCCGGTCAAGTCTACCAAGCAAAACCGTCGAGTCAAACTTGGGATCAATCGGCCCCAGATCCTCCAACCCAATGAGAAGTCTGAAACCCTGGAAGAACAAGCCGTTCAACCACCAGAATAGACTCCTGCTCACGACGCCGGTGGTGCACTCCACCGCGACATTCTTCTCGCTGTCCGGCAGGTACGCGCGCTTCGGCGTCTCCTCCAACGCGAGCATGACGGCCTTGACAGCGAGTAAGGCCGTGAAAACGCATGCGATCGGCGTGAGACCGTCCCGGATCCACAGCGTTCTGGCGTGCGCGGTGTCGAGGGTGATGGTCAGGACGAGGTACCCGCCGAGAAGCAGGGACGGCCTGACAGAGCGTTTGTGTTCTGTGTAGGACAGGACTCCTATTGCGATGGCCTCGATGAGGGCGATTGCGCTTTCTGCTACTGAGGTTTTCGTTTTTGGGGCGGTTGGGAGAGACCATAGTGTGATGAGGGCTATTTGAAGGCAGAGAAATGCGGTTACGGCTGACTGGGATCCCATTAGTATTCTTGCTTCAGAGTTGGGCCAACAAGGGTGAATCATCAGTACCAGCTTCAGCCATAGAAGTTTCCCTGAGCGGACGCGGATTCCATTGCGTAAAAGTGAGGAGATTCGGACTGGGACGAGGAGGATGAAGAGAGCGGACGGTAGGATGGAGAGTATGCTCTGCTCGAATAAGACGGTAAAGTCAAAGTAGCCGCGCACCTGCGGGCCGAAGTAATCGTCGCCTCCACTCATTGCGAGATGGTAATGACCGTCAAGATAATTCGATTCCTTTCGAGCGATACTGAGTTGTCGGCCACCATTCAAGGTGGAACAACGGCGAGCCTAGCAAGCTATCCCATTGCGAGCTCGTGAGAGGTCTGAATGATTCTTATATAAATGAAGCGAGTTGTGTAACAGTCTATTTCGAAGGCAACAAGATTGCTTATCCAGCTTCCTGTTTGAGGTCGAAGCCAATGCTGACTGCCTGGGCAAGGGAAAGGAGTGTTGCGCGTTGGGGGTTCGAAACAACATGGATTGTCCAATCATAGCCCATAGGTAGACTTATACGAAGGATTTCGTGCTTGCGCGAGCCGTATTCGCCCCGATTAGGGAAATGCGTCTTATCGGGGTCCAGTTCACTCGTGTAACCAACCGTTTGTTGACCGTTGATCTCGACCTGTGCCTCTTGGGTGCAGAGATGACGCGATGTACATAGTCCCCGTTGTATCAATGCAATACCGCGCTTTCATTTATCCGATTATATGCATCGTGCATTTGTTTGTTTGTCAACTCGTGGCTCTCAATGACATCGTCGCATCACTAATGGACTAGGGTCATTCATTTAACATTTTCTCAATATCTAGAACATGTCGTGTTCTAGGACTTGAATACACCACCACTTACTGGTTTTGTGAGCGGTTAGATTGCGTTCATCAGTACATCACTGAGTTCTATCCTGCGACCGTGAAGCAGGGTGAGATGGTTTCCCCACGCTCTCTTCATTGCAAACCCCCAGTAGTACCATCGACCCTCAGCCCGCCGCACCATGCCGAGGTTCTCTCAATACCGATCTCCTCCAGCGTAAGTCTCGGTCTCTCGATCGAGCATCTCACGATACCACAGCTTGGCAAACGTATCTCTCCGAGTCAACCTCATTCTTTCTCATACGCCACGCTTCTAGAAGCTAACCGCACGCTCTTCTCGACAACATTCTTGGCCCAGTGCGGTCTGCCCCTCACTTCCTTCGTCGACCATTCGAACGCCTTGGTCCCAGCTGTGTAGCGTCTTGGCTTCTGCGTCAATGTTCGGTATCCACCGCAAAGTGAAGACGGGCATGGCATGTAACATGACTTGCGCATCTTCAGAGTTCCGAAAAATAGGGATTGCAGTACGAAACAGGGTGGACTTTCGTCAGGCAAACAAGACTTCGCCTGGCCGGTTGTCAGCGTGATGCACAGCGCGAACTCGTCCTTTGGACATGAGGCCGTGGAAAAGGCTGCTGCTGCGTGTGCCCGTGGCGATGACGCCGGCGATAGACTGCTAGCTAATATTCCCCAGACTCAGCATGGCCGGGCCAGCGCACTCCAGCTCATCACAGATGGCGTACAGGCAGATGCTACTCTGGACGACCGGCAGACCTGTTGATTCATCGAGCGTGCGAGCACATGGCTGTAGTTTTCGACGTCGAGCCGCTAGCTTCGAGGTGCACGTGATGCGAGGATGGCGAGTGCACCGAACGTTCATCCCACCCGTTTTGGAATATACCACCTCACGGTCGTACCTTCCCGTGCCTTCCGTGAGAACCCGTTATACCCCCCCTCAAGTCCGTTCCTGTCACCAGCCAGCAGGCGCCCCCTTGGGGGTCAGGTCAAAACTGGCTGGGTGGTGGAGTGGTTGAAGTCCACGAACAGCCTAATCGGTGAAGGCTTTGAGAGAGGTCCCGTGTTCGAGTCCCAGCATGAGCACCAGAGATGTAGCCCCCATTCGCCACCGGGGGGGTGAACTCTTTTGGTTTTTGTTATTGTTATCGTAACTTGAATTGATTAAGTAATCTAGCTTTTTAGATAGTCGGGTGTGAGATGCTGGTCACCCTCGAGCTATCCGAGGTTCTTATAGCATGTCAAGGGAATGGCAGAGGGGGATAGTCCTTGCCTGTTTATTGGTGAATGTTACAACCCTGCCAAGGTAAGGTATTGACCCAAGCTTAGGCTGATGATACAAGAGGAGCTTGCCATCTCGATGAATGACACGATTAAGCGTCAATTAAGTCCATTGCGTCGTAGGAAAACACCATCCCGAACCTGCAGGTGACAGAGAGAGTTGCCCTGAGATCCATACCCGACATGCTGAAACATCACTCACCTCGACGATATGAATTTGCCCTCAGATTAGCTCTCTCATGTTCTCACGGACAACGGCCGAGGGCTGTAAACCCATCGTGCTGTCTGCAACTTTGGCTTATTTGGACTATGGTCATCACCGGGCAATTCTGTATCGTGTTGCTGCGTAGGCTGCTAGGCTGGCAGTTCTCGAAATCTGCAATCGACGTTAGCCCTCCATCACCATAGCAATGAGCAAACTGTCAAAAGCTGTTGTCGACTTACCGGCCAGCTCCGATTGAAAACTATATTTTGTCCTGTCACGAGCAAGTTCTCTCCGAGGCAGACACGATAAGCGCCTCCGAAAAGAGTGCCCGCTGTGACGCAAGGAAGGAAACTGCTTCTAGGTAACTGCAGAATGTCGTCATTGCGGCACGAGATTTCGAAGAACGTGGTGCCAGCTGTTGCAGAAAACGCAGCGAAAACATCCCATGCTGGGGAAACCCAGATGGGTGCCTGCTCAGATCTCTGTTCTTTGGTGCTGGTCTTGCCATCGAGTGGAGGGTTCCGTTGCAGAACCGCAGAACCCGATGGTCCCGTAACCGTTTGTGAAAGCTTTCATCAATGCAGGCGGGGTGAGGGAAGGGGGTAAGGAAGGTGCATTAGGTGGACGAGAAAATGGGCGAAAAATACTGGTAGAGCATGGTGGGAACAAGATGGAAACCAACTTGGCGTTGTCGAAAAAAAGACAGCATGGGGAAAAATATCCGCCGCGCTCCTGGGAGGGGGGTCTCGCCAAATCTCACTCGAGAATTTGCGCAAGTAGCTGCTTTGACCCAGAGAGGAATCCGTCAGGAGATAATGTTAGATACATTTCCGCGCCATGTTGAAGCTGAGGCTGGAGAGTAGCTGCTGGGATGAGGTCAGTCATAAAAGCCCCGATTCTCATGTTCCGCCCCAGGGAGCTTACCTATCTATTCAAGGCACTGGGTTTGACAGCGGGAACTCCGGATCCAACAGACTGTGCTAAGAATAAGCCTTCGGAAATTCCGCGCCCATCTTTTGTGTCAATGGTGGCAGAGGTGGCATTCGGGAGGCGTCTTTGGTTGAGGGTGGAAGAAGCAAGTCGCGGTTGAAGAAGTCCAGTCAGGCGCGCTGCGCGACGATGGGAGCTTTGGGCGCCCTCCACTTTAATCTCGCACAGCCACATTTATATGGCACCACCAGCCACACCTTGGCATCTCTTGAGCCGACATTGAGAACAAGCTTGAGGGTCATCTGAACGAGGAAAAAGCTAGGCGTATGTTTTTCAATCATACACTCGTGATATGGTTCTAACACGTACTCTCTACTCAAAGTCTATCCTTCTCGACCTCGATAGCTTCCTTCAACCTAGCCTCTATCCGGGTAATCACGTCCGCATCGTACAGGTCCTCCAACTTGGTATCGTCCTTCTTAAGGTACTCCTTCTCGTGGCGGAGAGCCTCGTCTCTAGTCATACACACCAAGTCGCGGAAGCGAATGTTGGACCACTTCTGCTCCTCGGCGCCCTCCCCAATGCGCAGCTTGGTCTGGCCCTCGGGCCGTCTCCACCGTACCAGCACGAGTCTGTTGATGAGACCGGTGACGGCGCTGCGTCCCTTCCACAGCTCCTCGGTCAAGAAGGCGGCGTCGCCGAGGGAGACTGGGATGCGGAGACCCTTGGACTCTTCGATACCGAATCTGTGGTGGACGATCCTCGTCTCGGAGCCTTGAACGAATGCTACAATGTCTGTGTAGAGCTTGTCGCGGTTCTTGGCCGGGACGTAATCGAGGGGGTATCCTAGAAGCTTTGTTAGCCTGTGAAATTAGATGTATTCGCTTCATGATTTTCTTACCTGAAATGCTGAGAATGACGTGGTTCGCGGCAATGTACCCAAAGACGGCGGGCATTGTTCCAAGCACGGGCAGAATGCGGACTCTGAAAGTCGGCAAAACACTGAGATCGCCAACCTGGCCCTTCTTGAACTCTTCTTCGTCGAGCGGCAAGAGAGCAGCCTTGCCCTCGCCGGCGACCTCAGTCGAGTACACGACAGGAATACCACCCGTCACGCCCTGCAGCTTCAGCTTCCTGCGAGTAGCTCTGGAAAGCCCGTCGTCGGTGCTGGCTCCGATATCGCCGACGTTAACGCGCGTAGGATCGCCCTTGGCCCCGGCTCCCATGGAGGAGATGACGGGGATGCCGTGATCGTGGCAGTACTTGAGCAGAGCGACCTTTGTATCAATGTTGTCAATCGCGTCGACGACGTAGTCCGGCTTCTGTCCGTCCTCGGCCCAGGGCGCAAGCAGCGCATCGGCGGCAATCTTTTCAAATTTTTGGTTCTTGAGCTCGTACTTGGCCCAGGGGGCGATGGCGATGAGGCGGCGGTAGAGGCACTGGACTTTGGGAATACCGACGTCTGCCAACGTGGCGACGGCGTGTCGGTTGAGGGAGCTGAGGGTGACCTGGTCGAAGTCGATGAGGCGGATCTTGGAGACGCCTGAGCGGGCGAGAGCGGCGGTGCAGTGGGAGCCAACGCCGCCGCAGCCGACGACGACGACGAAGGCGTTGCGGAGCTTTTGCAAGCCGTCGTCTTTCAGGAAGACCCTGTTGCGGGCGAGTTGTTCGAGAATGAGTTCCTCGTCAAAGTCGCCGGCCTGTGCTCTCCTGGCGAGGGCCTGGTTGCGGGCATCCTCCTTGTCTACTGGGGGCGATGCGGCGCCATACCGAGTGAGCTGTGAGATGTGATTAGTTTAGAGGTTCATGTCATGATGTTAACGGTCCAGTTACCTTGGCAGCTTCCTCGGGAGAGGAAGGGATGGACTTTTTGAGATCTTGAATTCGTTCTTTTCTTTCGAATGCTTGGTAGCCAAGGATGAAACATGCTACCGTGGCGCCTGACAACACTGCAGTTGCCGCCAGTTGCGCATGCGGACTTGACACCGCTTTAGAGAAAAATGAAGACATTTTCAATCTCGCACACTCATCATGCAAGATGATGAGCTTAGTGAAGTGCCACGTCAACAGGGAGAGGGAGTGCCTTGAGTGGCTTTCTGTCAAGCCAGTCTTACACGAGCTTCGGGAGGACCCTCTCAATGTCACTGGCGATGGGTCTAAGCAGCACCTTCAAGTCAGGCTTCTATTGCACTTTCGCCGGTCAAAGGGGAAAAAAAAAGTTGCTGTAGGTGAGTGACCAATCAGCATCTCCAATTCCAGCTGACAGCGGAACATTCGCCCACCGACACCACCGACCGCACCGGCCATGAGTGGCCCCACTTCGGCATCGAATCTTGGATGCATCGACCACTTCGGACTGGAAGCTCCCTGGTCACTTCAAGCTCTGAGCTTCCCGAATGTTTAATTCTACCGCAGAGAAGTCAACTACGACACAACCACCGACGGACACCCGCCAGGAACCAACGAGCCTCACAACCGCATGAACACAACAACACTCCCGATCTGAAGTTTCCTTGGCCCGCAGCCACGATGCGCCAGCGCCTAGCCCTCCGCCGAATCCTCCTCCAGAGGCTCTTCCGGCTCCAGACCACCCGGCCCTTTACGAGCAACACATCCCTCACCTCCCGCAGCAGGCCACAGCTTCCCTTCCTCTCGATTCCCGTCGTCACGGCGCCGCGGGCCCGCTACTTCACCACAGAAAAGAAGCGCTTCCTGCGCTACGAGGGCCGTCTCTTCTTACGCTATAATGTCTCCATCTGGGGCGGTGCCCTATGCATCCTCGGCATCGTCTTCCTGCTGAACCAGGAAGGACTGGAGAAGGAATACCCCACGCCGCACGAGTGGTCCTACCTGACGCGCATGGGCATCCGTGGCGCCAAGAATGCTGCCCGAGATACACCCGGCCACAGCGTGAACTGGGTCGAGGTCATCGTGACATGCAGAGGCGCGCTGGCTCGGCTGGAGAACCCGGATATCGACGGCGCGGCAATCCGGGAGCTTCTCGACGAACCTCTATCCATCGACGGCATCGGCAACGCGGGCAAGGACGTCTCGGCCAAGAGCGAGAACTGGAGGCGGGGCTACTACGAGGTGCTGATGCTCATGGCGCAGGCGGCGGAGCAGCTCGACGGCTGGGTCAAGGACCGGACGAGAAACATTATATTCCCCGCCGACGTCGTCTTGGGCCCTTCCAACCCGCACCCGAAACCCATTCCTCCTGGCGCGGAGAGCGCGCCCCGCGAAGAGGACTGCGAAGTTGCCTACGAGCCCGCCGAGAACCACTACCTCCGCATCCTCACCACAAAGGGCTTCACCGACCGACAAAAGATGGACGCCGCCCTCGCTTACGCCTCCTTCCTCGACTACAAGCAGATGCCCGACGCCGCCGAGCGCATGTACCAGTGGGCGCTCACTCTAGCCACCGCAACCGCCCCGAGCGACCCTCCCCTCGTCGATCTCCGCACCTACACCATCAACGAGAAGAAGACGACGTTGCCGTCCGAGAACGTGCTGACCGTCCTCACCTCCATCGCCCTCCACAAAGCGCGCAACGACGACGTCAATGCCGCCCTCCCCATCTTCATCTCCGTCCTCCGCGCCCGCCGCGCCCTGCCCCAGGTTCCTCTCCCGGGTCAAGAACGTCCCACAGAGACGCCTGCGACGCTGTGGCAGAGGATATGGAACCTAGCACAGGCACCCAGGTACCCCGCGCCACCGGACGACGGCACCCGCCCCCCCTGGCGCCACCCGCAGGAACTCTGTGAAGAGGCAGGGCTGAACCTCTACATTGGCGAAATCATCTACGCCGCCGCGGCAGCCGCCAAGGATTCCTCTTCCAAGAAGCAGGCCGCGAACCGCGACGAGGGCCTCGCGTGGACGCGCGACGCAGTTGACCTCGCCGAGGAGCAGCTGCGCAAGCTCGGCCCGATTGGCGGCGACAAGGAGGCCCGTAAGACGTGCCGCGAGTGTCTCGGCACGGGACTGCAGAACTGGTCTGCCATGGTGGCTAGCTTGGCCAGAGAAGAGGAGGCCAAAAATCAAGCCGCGCCGGCGAAATCCGCGTTTGGGTTCTGGACGGAGACCAAGACCGAGGAGAGCAGGTGGGCGGCGGAGGAGAAGGTTGTCAAGGAGAGGATACGGCGGACCAGGGAGCTGTTGGTGCAGGTCGAGCCGCCTGTTGCTGGGTTGGCTTCGTTGCTTCAGGTGTAAGAAGGGGCACATTTCGGTCGAGGTTGGCGCAGCGACGAGGAGCAAACTTGTACAGTAATGTTGTTTCAGCAACTTCATATCAATGATACCATTTGCGCATTCGATGTCTTGTTTGTCAGATGCTGGCAGCGAAGTATTATCAGTCATTACTGATTACGGGATATAGGTACATCACATTTGTTGTTCTTACCCATTCACAAGCCACGGCAGCGCTTTCAGCATGAATGGCAGAGCAAATGTGAGTTGCTAACTTTTGTGATCACGACTAACTGCCTCGCGCCAGCTCTCCTATTAAATGTTTGAGGCCTGATAGTAACCATCGTGCCCAAGCGAGCATAATGTCCCATATGCTACCATCCCCTATCCGTCGATGACACGGCCCGTCATCATCTCTCAAGATTCCTCCCAAGCATCGCTCTGCTGCTCATTCTTCTCAACCGCAAGCTTCTGAATACCCTCCAGGACCTGGCAATGTTCATGGTCCTCAGGCGCCATAGCATATCCGATACTCGGCTTCGCAAATTCGGGCATATTCTCCCACTGCTCGTCGAATCCTCCCGCCGCCCACTCCTCCTCTGTCGGCACATGGGGGTCGACGGCGACAACCTCCGGGTGGCGGTAATCGGGGCCGGCGAGAGCGACCTCTTGGACCCAGTCGAGCATGAGGACGTGGCTAGTGACGAGCATGCACTCGACGAGGTAGACTTCGCCGGAGCTGTAGACCGTGCAGCCGTGCTGTGTGAAGGAGGCCGTGTTTGGATTGCCGCCGGGTTGTGCCACGGGTGTGAGTGCAGGCGCTTCATCTGTGATGTACGCTCGAGCGCGGCGAGGGAGGAACTCTTTGAAGGGTTGATGAGAGAGTTCATCGACGCTGGTTGTGCTACCCAGCAAGGACAAGGTGTTGATGCGATGGTCGAGAGCGGACCAGGTCTCGGGTGTGTCCAACGCCCTAGTCGCGTGGTCAGCACCGAGGCCTATGCCGATGATGTCGAGGCGAGCGTTTGGCGATAGAAGCGATGGGATGACCTCGTTGAGAACGTACGCAATGTGGGCTTCGGGGGTCTCGTTATTTGGGATTGAATGGTATCTTGGGTTGTTGGCGCGGCCGTGGTGAACCATGCTCTTCCTGGGAACGGCCATGGCGGAAGTCGGGCTTAGAGCCTTTTTGCCTTCGGGCCACCACCAAAGCTCACCCGTGTTGGCGATAATGATTCCGGGGGGACTATCGTCGGACGGCGAGGCTCTCTGGCGGTTGATCTCCTGAACGACTGAGACCATGCTGCCCTTATTGATGCCGCCGGGGCCGTTGACGACACGGAGGGCCAAGTTGCCGAGATCCTGGCTGGGCTCGCCAAAGATTACGATTACGCGCGAGGCAGATGCTAAGTTGGCACTTGTGAAGATGGAGACGTTGGGCGAGGTTGGCTCGACGCCGAGAGGTAGAAGGACCTCCTTCAAGCCTTCCTTTTCGAGACGGCCATGGACAATGTCGCGGATCGCTTCTGTATGAGGGTTAGGAAGAAGGCGCAATGAAGGTTAACAATGATAGGTACTTACCATTGAAATGAAAGCGCTGGCGATCATTGACTCGGCCGTTTTTGGTGAGATAGTACTTGAAGTAGTACTCGGGTTCCTTGATGTTGCGGATCTCATCTTGGTCGTTGACGAAATAGCTGGAAACGTTAGCTCTGGTCACGGCTTGAAACGGAAAAGGCCGCAAACCCAAGATCCTTCAAGTTAGATGAGAAGACAGGGTCTTTGGGGAGACCAGACCAGCGGCGGCGGAACATGGTGGCGGCTGGACGGAGACGAGGTAGGGGAGTATTGGGGTGTAGAAGGAAAGATGGCTGAGAAGGGGTGTTGTATTATCAGTTTTGAAAAGACGGGGACTGAGGCTGAGAGAAGCTCGCTGGGAGAGCAGGAGAGGGACCGGAAAGATGATAAGATGAAAACGAAACACAGCAGTGAGCAGGAAGGACCTCCAAAGCCAACGATGGAAACCAGATCCAGGGCCTCTTGCTGAATGAGAAGGCAACTGCACTCGTGAGACTTCCTGCCTAGGTAGATAAATGCGAGGAATACAGAAAGAAAATCGTCCGCTATCAAACAGATCTGATCCACACGTGAACTGTGATGTGTTGTACATTGTTTGCCAGTATGTGTATCTGTACATATGCTTTTTAGGGTGCCAACATGCAGCCAAACGCCAATCCCTAAATCGTCCATCTATGAGCAAGCTCGCGAGCGTAGCATGCCGTCTGAAAGGTCCATAAGCCCCTTTCGTTGTATCTTACAACAGTATTTTCCTGCTTTTATTTTTGATAATCGTCCTCCGCCGCATCTTCGTCTACCAACTAGCCTTCTTAACACCGGGAATGTTACCCTCGTACGCTTGCATACGGAAGTTGAACTGTACTCTCTAGTCAACATACGCGATTCAAACTGAATTTCGATGAAAAGCCACGTTTTCGACATACCCTCGTCATCTTAAAGTCGCGGAAGACACCCCTGGCCTTGCCACCCAAAATGCATCGGTTCTTGATCTGCGTCGGCCGGGTGTAGCAGTGCATCTGACCCAGCTGAAGCTGCGCCTCGGCGCGCACACGGCCCGGGAGAGTCGTGTTCTGAATAATGTATCGCAGAGCTTGTCTATTTAAGGAGCTTCGTGTCAGTTCAGATTCGATTGGATTCGTCGGTTTTGAAGGGGATGTAGGGAGTTCGGCGTTGCTAACCTCTCGGGCTCGTTCTGCATAAAGACCTGGCGCTTCGTGTGGTCACGAATCGTCCGGATGTTGACGAAA